TTTGTGTGCTAAGCAAATTCACCAGATTGGGTAGGATGGAAGAATCAGGGGATAGCCTTGATGGGCTTGGGTTTGGGTGGGTCACTCCTAAGGATAGAATTTCAGGTGCATCAGGAATGTCAGAGCTGAGGGATGGAGGCTGACAGTGATGGGGGCTGAACTAGCTGGTTCAATGTGTCCGTGTCCATCTGCTAGCTAAGCCTGGGCACAGGAATAGGACTCTCAAAAACGAAGTTCTGATGGAAAGTAGAGACCTATGTAGCTGAAAAAGCAAGGGGAAGGCTATAGCAGGATGCTTTCAGACTTCAGAAGAGGAAAGTGAGGGAAAGATGCCAGAAATGCTGTACCCTGAGGCAAAGCTTTGATTAGAGCTTATCCATTATGATATCCTAATCTGAAGAAGATGAGAGGAAGTGTCACAGAAAAGGGGATTTTACAAGTTCAGCTGTCCATGGTAGTGCTGGTTCAGAGCTGTGCTAAGATGTGACATCTCTCTCCATTCACACTCCTGATGGTGCACCCTTGTGTCCTGGACAGCTTGGTGTCAGCTGGGAGCTGTTTCAGACCCTGAGGTGGGGCTGAACAGGGCTTGTGCCATGTAGCTTTTGGTCCCTTGCTTCTAAGCTTGCAAGGAGCAGTCATGTTGCAAGTATGAATGCTGTTGCTCAGCCTCTGTCTCTGCTTTGCACATGCTGCCTTTCCTTTCTGCCTCCAAGATAAACAAACTCTTCGAAGAACTGCCATGAAAAAAGATATGTCTTTACGTGGTTGCAAATCAGATTGTGAAAGGATTTAGGGTGGGGGTGGATGAGTGGGTGTTGTCCTTAAGTGTCCCTATGTGTTCCTTTAGTCCATACATTTGCTGATGTGATTTGCAGTCTATGCTGGTTACAAAGCATAGGCTTTCTCCAGCTTATTCTGCTTCCTGATTAAAGAACTTCCCAAAAGGTAGAAATTGCATCCTTACCAGTAAAACCCAGGTAAAATTCACCTGCTCCATGTGGAGTCAATGCTGACCTGCCCATCCCCAGTTCCTGAGCAATACAAGGTAGGCAGCTCTTCTTAGCTTCTTGGCTTCTGGTGATGAGCTGCTTTTCTCAGGAGACAAAGCATGAATGAAGAAGGTATTCTGCAGGCGTTGTTATTTGTATGCTAAAAAAAAAATACTTGCCTTGCAGGGAAGTCAAAGGTCCAAATGTGTCTGTAAGGTGGCAAAAAAATAAGTGAGGCCCCAGGTATGGTATTTGATCCTCCATCTCCACTTTTCACAGCTCCATGCTAATTGGAGAGGAGACACACAGCCAGCTCACTCTCTGGGGAGAAAAAGGCAGGAACCAATTTGCAGAGCCACATAAATATGGAAGTAGGATTTTTTTTGGCGTGGGAGGTGTTACCAGTACCACACATTACGGTTTCTTGGCTTTATCACATCGTAGGCTTTTACCGAGACATGAGTAAGTTTGCTAAATAAGGAATATGAAAATAGCTTGTGAAATAGGTTGAGTCATCAGAGAAAATCAAATGGAGTTCTGACACCAGGGCTTCAGTTGTAAAGTCCTACTTCATTTTACCATTGCATTAGAAACTTCAGGGTCATTTCAATCTGTTTATTTCAGCTTCGAAATTCAAAGTACTCTGACATATAAGTAAGGCTTAACAAATTTGTTCACTTTTTCTATTAGCAGTGGTGATGCATCCCTATGTGTCCTGCCTGTGAACACTTGCAGGGAATGTAAAGGTTACCAAGAGAATTGGCTTCTGTGGTTATAGCTGAAATGCTCGGCACTTGTTCCGACTATGCCTGGTTATTAAAGAGGATTTATGGTCCCTAGATAGTCCTTTCGAGTACTAGCCTACCCCATGGAAGTCACTGGCTGTTATTTGTAGCTTCTGGGAATCCTAGCAGGACCTGTTGTGCAGTACAAACACCAAACAAATCTGTAAAGCCAGTAACTCAAGGCCAGGAGTGACCATGGTAGGTAGAAAGGGAGAAAGAGGCTTAAAATGCCCTTAGGGACTGCATTGCCCTAGGAGTCCCATATCTCTGCCA